TCATCGTCCACTGGTAAACATATGAGGTGATGATGAATCTACTCAATAAGACGATATGCACATTCTTTTCCACACTGCTAGGGAGGGTGCGAAAGATCCCATCTTTCGATTTCTTGCAAAAAAAATCTAACATATTTGAAATATTTTCTATTTCTGAAGCTCTAAATAAACGCCTTTTTTGGCATCGTACCATTGTTCCAACCTCTAGACACATCTCCTATACCGTCCAACTAGGCATCTCGCTTTGCAAACACAAGTCTTTTTGTGTGTTTTGAATTTTTAAAAAATTCTAATGGTCTGTACTGACTTTACTGACGTCCATATAGTAGGCGGGAGTGTGACGAATGTGGGGTTTTTTTCAATGTGTGCACAGACATTTAGCTGAGAGGATGTAGAAGTTTGAACCATTTTGTTTGACGGTTGTTAAAATTCTACCGCAATAGAAAGTTATACTACTTAGCCGTAAATGTACACTGATCTGTTTCGTTTGGAAAGCCATGAAAGGAAACGAAAGCGATCTTTTGGTCCCTTTTTAAAGAGAGTTTGAGACCATAGAGAGGAAGTACTGAAAGTTTCCGATTATTTATGTCTTAGTTCTTGAAGATTTCTTAAAACTAGAAGGATTTTTAGGCTTAACCTGGTAGAAAATTTGGAAGACTTGGCACTAGGCCAATGAGTCCCTCATGCTGTGATCGTAGACAAACTGTAAGCCTCATCTCCTCTCAGAAAGATCTGTGAATCCAGTTTTGGCAGCCAGCCACATGAACTGCAAAAACGCGACGGGGGCAGAGACGAAGAGCCGACTCTACTCGCCTGCGCCCTACCCCCCCCTCCCCCTCTCCTTCCCGCGGTCTTCCTAGCGCGGGGTGCGATCGGTGATGTGCTTGCGTGTAAAGAGCTACTGCCGTAGTGCCAAACCAAATCCCACCGTAACCTCCTAAATAGGCGACCAGCGGCGGTCAGCTGGTCGTATGCAGAGAGTATGCAATTCGCGGAGTAACCAGATGGATTGACGGCAAGAGCACGGGTATTGGCGAGAGACCAGCGAGTAGGTGGCCGTTGGCTCGTTTCGTCCATCGGTCGGTGTGTGTTGGTACTTCGCCCAAATATCACGTTTGACACGAAGACACCCCCGTCTCGCAGCGAACCCCGCCTCTCCTTCTCCTCGCCTCTTCGTCCCGCTTGCGCGCGCCACAATTATTCCTGTCCACATCGATTGATCCGCTAGTTTGTTTCCTTGTTTACGCTGATTAATCATCTGGTCACTCTCGTCATTTCTCGTCGCCTCAAGGCCCGTTCTTCAAACTTTCTTCTACTTTTTATGATACGAGAGCGACGCGGTCATTCATCGACTACTTCAGTGTGCTTTTTTATGTCCATAATGTCGCTGTTTTCTCTTCTAGTTCTCCTTCGAATATTATG